TTTTTTTTTTTGCTGGGCCCTTCCCTGGTCCTTGCACGGGCTGGCCACCGGGGACCCGGGCGGCCCGGCTGGTAGCCTAGTTTGAAATTGAATTAAAATGAATTTTTTTAGCTGTCACACCGTTGAGCTGCCTCAACTAAACGGTGCATATGGGACATGGTCCCTGCAAACATGCCAAAACGAAAGCCGACATATCTGTATTATACTATTATCAATTTATCATAGTATTATGAGAATAATACTAAATGACCAAAGAGACCCAGTGGTCGGGCTCGTTGAATCATGAAAGTATACATGAAAATTACTTTCTACCCTCCTTTGAAAGAAACATGAAAATTCAAAATAGGTATTTTGCATAAGATTGGCATAATTTTGCTCCTTTCAGCGTGTCTTTTTTTTTTTTTTTTGACTTTACCTGGAACTTGTCAGAAACCATATGTCTCAGTCTTTGGTAGTATACAGGGCCCAAGTAAATCTCGCATGGCATCTCGGTACCAAAGATACCGCTGTACATAACTTCGGTCCCGTGATAATTGAAGCCCGCTGCCACCAACTGCTCACCAAACTCGTCCACAACAGTTTTGCTCCTTTTCCCATTTTTTTTATTTGCCGTCGTCACCTGGAAAGGTGACGCATCGATGAATTCTCCCTTCAAAGCTCCAACCTGCACACATACAACTAGCCAAGTGAATTATTTTTACCTCTCGAAATGTGTTTTTTTGTTTTTTTTGTTTGTTTGTTTGTTTGTTTTTTTGTAAATGGGCCTATTGCACAAGGCAATACGGCAAATAGAGCATCAATTGGAGCAGAGATTCGAATTTCAGGGGGCGACAGACAGGCCTCTAATCCTCAACCTGAGACCGAACCCCACCCCTGTGGCCATGGGCATCATCAACCATAATTCTATAATTTCTACAACAACAATTTGCCGCACTCCCCCTCCACCGAACTGAGGAGTGAATGACTTTCCGCTTTTCCAAAGGCAATTAGAAAAAGTCAATCAAATCACTGGATGAAGGGTAAAACACTCTCTCTCTCTTCAAAGCTGGATGCAACCCGGCAGCAGAATTAGCCAATTATTTTCAAAATTTCCCCAAGGGTAAAAAATTGAAAAAAAAAAAAAATCACGGGATATTAGTGGCTAAGGACAAATTACTGGATTAAACTTAAAGGACTAAATCACTGCGATAAAAGACTATAAATCACTCTTTCCCTAGGCTACCAGCCGGGCCGCCCAGGTCTCTGGTGGCCAGCCCGTACAAGGACCAGGGAAGGTCCCAGCAAAAAAAAAATAAAAAAAAAATCAAAAAACTTCACAAAAAAACTATGTTATGCAGAAAAATAAACCGAACAACTTTTGAGCGAGCGGCTCCTATTTATGAGCGAGGCATCACCGGCCTCAGGGTCACATCGAAATTCTTGACCAAATTTAAAATAAAAAATCATTTTTAAAAATAATTTTTTATTTTTTATTTTTTAAAATGTTTTTGGCCCGGCCGGGCGAGTGACCCCGGGCCACTCTGGTAGCCTAGCTCTTTCCCATATTATATTAGTGCACCTTAAAAGAGGGAAAAAAAAACAGAAAAAAAAAGTGCGCCTTAAAAGAGAGATGGCAACTCCCGAAAGCAAAGAGAGACACACACACATTGGAAACGGTCAAAATGAGCACACAAGCAATAAAGAAAAAAGTCAAAAAAACTTCAAAAATTTTTGAAAAAAAAATAGAACAAATTTAAAAGAGAGAAAATTTCAATCTACTCATCGTATCAAAAACATAGTATACAAATACTACGCATCGTATGAAAAACATAGTATACAAATAGCACACATGTAGTACACATAGTACACAAATAGTACACATAGTACACAATGTCAACATCAACAGAACTACCGTCTTCCACCGAACACAATGCACCCTTATTTTGGCTGTATCTGCCTGGAAATATAGCTTGTATACATTCATTTTTAGGGTGCGTTATGTTCGGGGGAAGACGGTAGTAAACTGTGAGGCCGGCCTTGGAAGGCGGTCCCAAATGGGCACACGAAAAAAAATAAATTGCGAGGCCCGTGGGTCCCATGGTGTTTCTCTAGGCTGCAGTTTTGGTCCGGTTTGTTTGCTGTTGATGGGCACGTGTGGTCATGCATCTTTGCATGTTCCAGGCTTCCAGCGGAAGATTCATTCTCATTTCGCTCATTCGGTGAGTAGTGGACGAAAGTCCAGTGAAAAGGAGGAAGAGGGAGGAAGAGCGGGATGACAAGCGGGATGACAAGTGGGAGAGAAAAGGAGCAGAAGGAAGAGTGCAATGACGAGTGGAATGACAAGTGGGAGGAGGAGGAAAGGGAGGAGAAGAAAATATGATATGATCGTGCGTCTTTCCATGTTCTAATAGAAGATTCGTTCCCATGGAGCGAAGCCGAGAGGAGGAGCCAGGAGGGGCGGGATGACGAGCGAGAGAAGGGAGGGGAAGGCGGAGGAGGGGGAAGGACGACAAACACGTGGCCTAGTGGAAAATTCTTTCTCCTTTTCCACATTTGGGGTGGCGGAGCGAAGCCCGGTGAAAAGGCGATACACTCCAGGAGGAGCGGGAGCAGGAGGGGCGGGATGGCGAGCGGGACGAGGGAAGGAGGAGAACGGTGAGGAGGATGGCAAACACCTGGCCATATATCTTCCCATATTCAACCCGGAGAATCACTCCCGTATTGCCCTCTCCGTTCTTCTTCCGCCTTTTCCTCTTCCCTCGTTGCGTCTCTTCCACCCACCTCCTCTCTCCTTCCACATCTTACTCTTTTACTCTTTCTCTTCTCCTTCCTTCGATTTGTCATCCTTTCCCCCCTCCCCTTCGCTCCCTCCGTACCATGTTTCAATGCACTGCCTTTTTCGATCGCGCATGTCAATCAAGGAGTAGCTCCAAAATGCCGTTCCCTCACATTTCACCGACCGACCCTGCTTTCTACTGTTTGTCTTCCCTCCCTTTCTCCCTGACACCTTCCCCCTCTTTTCTTCCACGGCTTTCCCTCTCGCTGTCCCTCTTCCATCCACCTCCTCTGTCCTTCGACATCTTACTCTCTCTCTCCCCCCGACTGAAATGCTCTGTCAACAGCAACAATGCTGCAAGCAAAGTCGAACGCTTTTGTTCCGGTGATTTTTAGCACACAGTTGGTGATTTTTTTGCATCCAGAACCGCCGCCTCACAGACAGTCTGACCGACATACCTGTCCGCCGACAATGGCCGCCGCTGACTCTGGAGAGAAACAGAGGCAAACACAGGTGCTGTTTCAACCTGCTGTTGATCGGAAACGTCTGTCCTCACTTTTGCTATCAAATGTGCATACACTGCATACACATGGATGTTCATCTGCCCCTTTCGAAACAAAAAGGCTTGGGTTGGTGATGTTTTGTTCTCTCTCTCTCTCTCCTTCCTTTTTTTTTTTTTTCAATTACTGAAGTTTTGGCTGAATAGCATCGCAGTGGTGATGGAAAAAGAAGAAGAAGAAGAAGAAGAAGAAGAAGAGGAAGAAGAAGAAGAAGAAGAAGAGAGAGAGAGAGAGAACAAAAATGCAAACCCAAATGAGTAAACCTCTGTAAAGTTGTGTAAACACTCTTTTACAATTCCTATATAGGCATGAGAGGCACAATAGCTCAGCTCTTTTAGAATTCCAATTCGGGTTGCCCCCACTCAGCCACCTACCTTCCAAGTCATGCTCTCCCAAACGACCGAATGATCAGACACAAAGAACCCCCCCAAATGACAAAAAGTTGAAAAAATTCAAAAAACACAACTTTTACAAGATTAGAAATGAAAACCCAAATGACGACGAAACATACAATGTTTACAATTCACATCTACACATGACAGGCTTAATAGTAGTTCATCTCTGTGGGTGGAAAAAAAAAAACAAACAAAAAACTGTCCGACCAATTCACATCTACACATGACAGGCTTAATAGTAGCTCATCTCTGTGGGTGAAACAAAAAAAACAAACAAAAAACTGTCCGACCCCCCCCCCCCCCCCCCCCCCCCCCCCCTCTC